CACAGGCAAACCAGTGAAGCAAACGTCGCAAAAATACGTTGTCGTTCCACCACGCTTGCCGTCCGACCGAAGTAGTGAGCACACTTTGCCGTTACGCTGGACTCGCTTCAGTTGCCCCGAGTGGTTTCTCCAGTCATCCACCTGCTTGGGTAGATGCTTGGGACGCGCGGATACACTTTGGCCACCTGCCGTATCCGAGGCCGTTGTCGAAGATGACGGTGGCATGCTTGTATCTGCTACGGGTTGTGATGTATCTGCAAACACGCATATACAGCTTAGTCTAGCCACGATAAAGCTGTACATACAGCCACTACTTACCTGCTCCGAATGTATTGTTCTCGTACATATTTTCGTCCTTCATGCAAATGAGCTCCAGGTACAGCTTCCTTATGTACTGGACATGGGTAAGTGGTCGAGTCCTATTCGCCGCATGAAACGCCCGATGCACGATGTAGCCGTTGACGATCGCCAGATCCACAAGCCCCAAAAACGGCGACTTGTAGTACTTGCGAAATATGACAGCACGCTGAAGAGAGTATCGTTGCTGGCGGAGTTGATCGTGGACATCAACCCCGACCATGTACGTGTGATAGTCCTTCACAGCTTTGGGGCAAGGCACTTCGTGTTGCTCTCCAGTCTTGTCTCTCCGAACAACACGGTCCAGAGCTAAGTCGCTGCCGGTACATGGGAAAAAGACCGGCTTGCTGTCCCACCAGGTAATTCCAGTCATCTGCTTTACCTTCTCCGATTTCGCGTACTTGAACGTCCCTCGAATAATATCTTTGGGTCGCTTCTTCTTCTTCTCCTTGAGACTTTCAGCAAAACCGATGCGGTTCGTCATAATGGTTCCAATGGTATAGAATCCCATCAGCAATAGTTCGATTACAAGCACCACACTAGTGCAGAATCGATCCGTGACTACTAGGCGAAATCCCTTATCTTGACCGGCCGGGAACACTGCTTTCAAATTCCGCACAACTGCAGCAGGCCCCGACTTCTTGTCCAGCGAAGTGCTGTCGTCGATGTGAGCTTTCTTGCCAACGGAAACCTCAAACCTGTATAATACAGAGCAGACATATACAGAATAGGAAACACGTAAGATATATTATACAACTTAGTAACTTTCATCGCAGCCAAACATACCTGATGCAATACGCAGTGTGAGCACAGCAAAGCATAAATAGCTTCGTACCCCATTTGCACGGTATTTCATGTAAACTCGAGTTGTGTTGAACGAGGAACGCGATGGAAGCATGGCTTCGTCAAACGCCAGCTCCGCAGGAGGAATGAAATCGCGCCGAAACGTGCGCTGAAGTACGTGAACAACTTTCCTGATCTTCCAGGCTCTATCCGTTTTAGCACGGGGGTCTTGGTTGCTGGAGAAATGCAGGTTTCTCGAAATCTCCATGAATCGGTCTCGCTTCATGTAAATTCCAAACACACCTCTCGCAATTCCGCCTTCGTCAGACTGCTTCCAGTGGTTTGAGATCTTCTCATGATTCGGCTGAATGGCTCGAGCTAGTAGTAACCCCAAGAAGACGCAAAGTTCGTGTGGCAGTACCGGCTTTACAGCCATACGTTTCATCCGTACATCTCGCTGGCTGGGAGTTGGTTCATCTGGGCGTCGGCGCGGCTTCTTGTTCTTACGCTCAATGTAAGCTTCTACTCGAGCCTCAAGCTGCTCATGCTTATAATTGTTGCAGCACACAGCAATATGCTGCCAAAGCGCAACAGGCATGAAGAAGAAAAACAGCGCCAAAGGTGAATCCCCATGCTTCATTGCTTCTGGTGTTGGACCAAACGGTTCGTGTCTCAGGTCTGGATAGCTATTCGTCTAATCAACTCGTTCAGACGGTGTCTGCAGATACGCGTACACGTCTGGAGCGACAGGTTCAATCCAGCTATTGCTGCTGTGGTCGCGAAGCTTGTCCAGGTCCTTCCCACTACGTCACCTGCCAGCACCTTGTCGGTTCCGCCCAACGACTCAAGAAACTTATTGGCAAAGTGTCGCTCGGCAATTATTTTTGGGGAAAGTTCGAATCTTCGTTTCCTTTATCTACGCCTTCCCGTTGCCCTTCATCAGTGTCTCCTTCGGGAGCGTTGATCTCGTCATCATCCACAATATCGTCTTCAGCTGGCTCTTCACCGAAGTCAAGGTCACCAAACTCTTCCGGGTCATCACCGTCTTCCATTTGGTTGAGGTCGTCCTCTTAATCACTGGACATGATGCTGCTCGCTAGAGATTGTATATACAGCACAGCAGATACAGCACAGCAGATACAGTACAGCAGATACAGCACAACAGATACAGCAAAAGCAAAAACGATGTCAGAAATCGTATCTGTGTATACACATGCACACATTGAAATCTGCACTTACCCTTCGATCCGTTGTCCGAGTCCACTCCATTGTCAGGTACGCTGGCGAAGGTTTCATCGGCATCATCTTCGTCAGATGATTTCAAAAAGTGATGACATACTGTACGTTCGCCTTGGGCTCACAACCTTAGGTTGAGGCTGTTGCACCAAATGATGCATCCTCTCGTCGTCACTCGATACACGACGCTCGGCTGCGCCGCTTCCTGCAGGGTAACGCACTACAGTTAGCACTAGATATTCCAGAATAATTCAATGCATTATGCACCTGTAGAGGGCGTCAGCGACGTCGAGTCTGCTGAGGGTGGCACCGAGCTCTGACCGAGGATACTGTCGGCAACTTCAGCATCCGTAGCTGGGCCATCGTCGGAGGGAGCTACATTCAAAGAATGCTCTGCTACAGAATCATAGGTTAGTTTCACTAAACTGCATGCACTAAAACTACGCACCGGACGCATAGTGTTTGAGCACTTGATCCTTGCCCATGAAGTAGTCTTGACCCTAAGCGCCACTTGCGCTCCCACCGGGAGGAATGAACTTCCAACGCGTCTCAATGGAGCTTGCAGGCGGTAGCTTGTGCGTCCAGCCGCTAGCCTTCAGCTCTCTCCATACGGCACGGCACACCGGCGTTCCTCCACTTATAATGCGCTGCTCACGGCGTTCACCACGTGCACCAGCCATTGCACTCCTGTCCGCCGATTCCAAAGTGAGACTGGGGCGTTTGTGGCCACTCAACAAAAAATCTTGTCAAACTTTGTGCATTGTGTGTCAAGTCTCCAACAAAAAAAATTTCTAAAAAGTTGGACAGAAACGATGCGTTCTGGTCTCGCATGTTTACTCGCAGAGTGGACAGAAAAAACACTGTGTTTTGACTTGATCTTTGTAACTGGGGGGGGGGGGGACAACGGCAGGCTAATTATTTTGGGAAGTATACAAAAGTCAAGTATAATGACGATCCTGTGCTGTATATATACAAGTTAGATTGTGAGGATATTTTATCCGTATGATTTGCTAACCCATCTTATACAGCCCACCGGTTTGAAGGGGATAATACATCGCTGACGGCAACACACATTCGTAAGCAACAAGCAGGATCAAACTAGCTTGTCTAGGGTTCATGACGCTGGGCCCACTGTGATGCTAAAACTACAAACCAAGCAGTGTTAGCGAGTCGGAAGCAGCGTCGAATCTGTCTGAATTGATGTCGTGGTGTGATGGATAAGCAGAACGATGTACAGAGAGGGGTGAAGTAAAGCTGCACTTCATCGCTAGGTTTCGTCAGAATAAAACTAATAATCGCTGATGAAACCTTTCGCTCACAGTTTGCTATTAAACTTTACCAGCTTTTGCCCAAGTCTAAGTCAAATTGTACTCTTAGCTGCATACAACACCCAGCTTTACGATAGATTACTATGCCATCTGTTGAATGGCTTGTTCACTGAGACGAATGAGTCGTGCTTCCTCATTTATTTTTTTGTCAATGATAAGCATGTCGATCTCAGCTGCCATTTCAATACACTTTTGTCCTTTCAGCCGCAACAAAAAACTTTCCAGTGTCCTTCCTTCAATAAGTGTCGCTGCTTTTCCTGTTAGGGCCGTCTTAACAAGGCAATTAGGATGCCCCCAGCTGATGCAGAGACATTGAACCGCGTTGATAACTCGACTTTACCGATTCCACCCTAGCCACCAAGAAAAAAGCGAAGTTGGTCATCTCTCTCTGTGTTGCCGTTTATATAGCTCATACTGTCTCAGTTTTTCCATTTTGTTAGCAGAGCAACTCCAATAAGTTTTAGGGCATGGTGCTGCTTTTGATTCAACGTGAATGCCTTTGAAACAGCCCCGATGCTAGCAAACTGATTTACCTGATGAGCGGATTCCGTCCACACCACAGGTTCGTCGTGCCAGGCTCTATTCTGGACGGTAGGCATGTCTTCATACAGCTCGATCAGTTTAGTTTCTCGCGTATCCGACTGCTGTGGCGTTGGTAAAATAAGATCGTTGTAAGTGGTAGTACCACTAATCCACTTTCCTATGCTTTTAGGGGAGATACAATGGATTGCACGGCTAACTAGGTATGCTAGTGACGCTGTTTTTACTGCCTCACTTTCAATCATGCGGTACCTCGTAAACGCCGCAAGAATCGGCGTAATTTTACCATCAGGTAGTGATGCACATTGGAACACAGCTGGATGTAAAGCCGTGCTTTCGATAATCTCGCTGCTGTCTCTCCAAATACTGTACATCTCGTTGCTGTAGTCTTCAACGCCATCCGACTCATCAACATTCAGGGCGTTTGTTATCGACACGGTGGGTTTGACTCGCAAAGTCTGCGTGGAGTGCTGCATACGATCGAATCAACGCACGCGCCTCCGCGTGGCGTTTTCCGAAAAGATACCTTGGAGCCCAGCAGGTTGAAGCTGCAGGCAACTAAATTAAAAATATGCCTAGCACCTTTGGATGCTCCACAGCACTCACAGCACTTCAAATACGACCACAGATCTGATGATGATGACCCTTACATGGCACAGCTGAAACTTTTCCCTAATAATGGCGAAGGATACGAGTGTATCTTGAACGCAACTAATAAAAAAAGATCCTTGCTCAATGTGGCAGTGCTCAAGTATGTGCTTGCCTTCAGTCTAAATTTGGGCGCTCTAGCATATTCCCTGCGTGCGTATATCTAGACGACTTAGTCACGGTGCAATTGAGTATGGTAGCTTAGTCTTGGTACTCACAATCAAACAAGCCAGATGGTAGAGAAGACCGAAAACGACTTCGATACTGTTGCCAGCAGCTCCAGACGTGCCAATAAGGTCAAGCCGGCGACGACTACTCGACTGGCCGCCATCGCAACGAGCCCTGCTGCGAACAAGACGGAGAATCCTCCACGCCAGACGCCGTACGAACACCTCCGAGTGCGTTTAGTAGCAGAGCGAGACCGGTCCAGATTGATCACTCGAGTCGAAGGTGGATACTTGTTCGCAGTTTCAAGCTGTAGTGCAAATCGCTGTTTTGCTATTCACAGATCTCTAGGCTATACTACAAGATGCGGCCGGGCCCAAGGACAGGCTGATCATTAGAATGAAGGTGCTGTGGGTCTCCAATCACACGTACAAGCAATTTCGACTTGCGAGACTCCACTTCATCGACTAGAATTTTCCTGAAACCCTGTTGCATACCGATTGTTGCATATAATTAAGCATGACGCTTTCACTTATTCATTGTTGAAGTAGCGGTATATTTTTTTATATATGAAATAGAGCAAAGCACTTCCGGCCCCCTTCAGCTGCACTTACGAAAATACAGACCAGCCCCAAGGTAGGGTGCTCCGAGCTGTTCAGTAGCGATAGGTGACTGACTTGGTGCAATGCCCAGATGATAAAACAGCAAGGAACACGGAACTACAGCGCCGTCGAGCGACAAAGGCTGCAGAAGATCGTCGCCGCACGCTGCCACAGCATGAGGCTGACTGGAATGTCGTCGCAATGGAGTTCAATGCACCCCTGACCAAAATCAGCTCGTCGCAGCCGCACAAGTTTAAAGCGCAAGTTTACAGCGTTGTACGCGTCACCGCGCCATAATAAGCGTAGGAAAGTGAGTGAAGATACGAAGGCTGTTATCGCTGTCCGTCAGAAAATTATTCGGCGATCTCAGGACGTGCTGACCAGCAGAATGAATGCATCCAGACCCATTGCATCACTGTGGCAAACGACGACATTGGAAGGTGGCGAGCGAGGGCACCTCAGCTCACCCTTGCATCAGGATCTCGCTGGTGGGGGTCGTTCAAGGAAATGGTCTTGGGCAGACGGTGACACTGGAACACAAGGTGGTGCAAAGCGTGATAGGCAAGCGGAAGTCTCACAACGCTGTATCACGGTGGTGCAAATGAATCCAGACCAAGTGGACACCAACACGGTATCACCATCGAGCGAAAATGCGGCACTGAGAGCCACCTTTTTACTGGTGGTGCTCCGTCAAGATTCAGCTTGGAGAAGTAACCCCGGCATCGGTGGCGTCTCCAAAAGTGCGTAGCAATTCACAAGCTTCAAAACAGAATAACGTCGCACAAGGCTTGACTCAACTGCTAAGGTGGTTTCAATAGGGCGATCTAAGACATGAGACGCAGCGGCAAGCCGAGGCGAAACAGCAATCCGTCGTTGAAGAACAACATCTTAGTGAAAAAGCCAAGGAGCTGGCTGGCATTGAAAGTAGACATAGCGAGCTTCTTCCGTGCATATCGTCACTTAGAGGTAATCGAGCAACAACGAGTAACTACAAATTGGTTTGTACATGTGCCTTTCATACGATAATACAAGGGTTTGTTAGCCACCAGTTTTTTTAAGGTTCTAATTAATCACTGTCCGAGTCTTCAATTACGATGACCACCGGTTGTTCTCCACCTTTGTTCTATTTGGAGGAGGAGACTCGTCATTATCATCTCGGTCATGCTTCCGACGTGGCGGCGGTAGCGTTGACTCTCCACTGTGGAAACTCCGACAGATTGAGGCGATATTACGTTGCTGATCGAGCCATCGTTCAGCTCTAGCGTGTTGATGAGACTTTGAAGTGCTTGAACGCAGAGTTTGTCGGCGTCGTCGGATAGATCGCGAGCTAGTATAAATTTTTCTCTCGTCTTTTTTCAGCTGCTTCTCTGCTTCCTGCACAGCATTGCTCTCAGCACCGTTACATTATAGAGTCGAGTAGAGAATCGCGAAAGCTGGTATGTTTCGGAAATATGCTTCTTTCTCGGCGTCAATTGTGGTTCGACTAATGTGATACTCAAGACATCCATTCTTGTGTACCGCACCACCACCGCCAACAGATACTCCGATTGTGAGAAGCTTTATGTACTCGGTTCTGCTGGTCAGATCTCACTTGCTCGTCATAAGTGATTGATGACCAGGGCATGTCAGGCAGGCTTCAAAAGCTACTGCCTTACCAGTTCAATGACGACATGGGTCGATAGTGGGATTTTTTTTAGGAATTAATTGTAATTAATATCCATTGCACGCAACTAGTTAAAATTAATGGCAGTGCTGTCGTGGTGACAGTAGGCAGTTCGCAAGTTGGAAAGCTGGTAAGTATACGCTATAACGCATTGAGCACAGTGAAACGAGTCTCATCAAGGCCTATGCTATGTGTCACTAGATGTCAGGACGCGGCAAGGAGCTAATGGTTTGGGTACCGGTGGATCAAAGCGCCACCGCTACATCTTGCGGGACTCGATACAAGGAAGCTGGCGTGGTTCACATGTCGGGGGCTTGTTTACCAGCAGACTCGAGCGGTGCTCAATGTTTTCTTGCGTAATCTATTGCAAGATACGCTGATGTACACGCAGAACGCGAACCGCAAAACGGTGACAGCATGCGATGGCGTCTACTTGCTGAAGAGACAGGGATAACAATTTACGGCTTTGGGCACTAGGCAATCACTCTGCGCAGATGATACACACTGCTAGCATTATCCTGTATTTACGAGTATCAGCTTTATACTATTTGAGTTCATCAAATAAATTCAATTAAATTCAAATCTCCGAACTGAGTTTCCCCCCGGGGCCACTGGGCCCGGGTAAGCTGTATTGTTTCGATCTTAAATAACTAGATCAGTCTAACCGGGTGGTGACCCAAGATTACCGAATGCGGACAGTACTCGACAGTACCAGTATAGGCCGCTCTCCTGGTCTTGGTGAAGAAATCCTGTAAAGTACTCCGCTAATGTCAACAATAAACATTCATTTCTAAACAACTTCCAAAACCTCTCTACAGTGTGCTTCCTCAGTTATGTGCAGTATCCAAGTAGCGTGGCGGTGTCTGCTACCGCAAATGGTCACAGTTTATATATGTAACAAGCCGAACGGAGCCCCGCCTGCGAGGCTCTTTGCGCAGGTTGAAGCCGAGCAAGATCATGCACCACCTCGCTTCATTCAGCGGGGATTAACCCTTCTGTTCATGTAAAACTGTAAGTTTGTTCTGAATTTGGATATCAGAACATGTCTCTGTTGCTACCGGCCATTTTTAGATGTAGCACACGTTACTTGCCAGCTCACTTCACTCGGACGAAAGCTGGATTTGCTGTACTACTACTACTACTACTACTACTACAACTACTACTACTACTACTATTACTACTACTAGTAGTAGTAGTGGTCGAGGTTACTGGTCATTCGCGCTACTCATGTCGCTTCTACATAGATATCGATGTAGTGGGAAAAAAAAGTTTCTTCACATTGGGGTGAGTGCAATCAATACTATTAATACTTGTGGTTGCTTACAGAAGCCCAGCTAACTCCAGTTTTTTTTTTTTTTTTTTTTTCACTCGTGATTCCCACCTCATACTAATATAAGTTTGAATTATAAGAACAGTTAAGTTTATTTTTTCAGGACTAAATTACTCCCGTAGTTCCCAATGAGCGACTACTCTGATTTCAGGTGCGTATTGTACTTACAATTTGAACAAATTAGCTTTCGCGTATCATATAACCTGTAGTAATACTGAAATTACGTATAACATACAGTACTCCCATGCTTATTATTTTATTTTAAGTCAACTCAGTCCCATAATCCATATGACAGGCTTAACTTTTTCGGGGTCGTATTCGGACATGACGTGGCTTCTGGTCGGCAATGCATTCTGCGATAATTCCAGCATTGCCGAGCGTACAGTCGGCAAATAAGCCATTCCAGCCGTCGAAAAAGCTATCAGACTCCTCCTATGAGCTTGACAAACATCCCAATGACGGCATTGACTGCTGGGTGGGCGGTAAATCGAAAAGTGACGCTAACTAAGCATACCATTCAAAACTGCTCTTTTAAGCGTGGCTAACGGATCATAGGGGGTGTGTGCGGTCGTGTGGGGCCTGGGAATATGTACTTATAACCCTTTGTTGGCTCATGCATGCCTAAAACTGGCAAATGAAGCGAATAACGGGCAGTGAACCGAACTAGGTGTTTGCATAAGACCTCGGAGCTAATAAATAGGAATTGAACGCTAACCGCTGCCATGTTTTTTTCTCTTTTTTTCTAATTATAAGTATGTAGTTTTGGACAGGCTTTTTTAGTGTCCGAATATGAGCTGTCTATTTTTCGTTTTGAAAAAGGAATCTGTCTTGACTACTTTTGTGTAAAGTACTTTT